TTTGTTGCAGTTCGGCCGGGGCTGGGTTTGAACCCGCCACCCTTGGTATATGGGGCCGGCGCCCTACCCACTGAGCCACAGGGTCCACCCTGTACTGAGAAATGTGACATTAGGTGGTATTGTTATATGCAAGCAACAGAATGTGCTTTCACAAGCCTAGAAGGTGGCGCTTATGACCAACCTAAGTTACATGGTATAGCCTTTTGCTCACTGCTCTTAGGATACAAACCTGTATAGCATGTTACTGTACAGAATATTATAGGCAACTGTAACATAATGGTATTTGTTTATCTAAATATATTTAAACATAGAAAAGGTACAGTAAAAATAAGGTATTATAATTATAATCTTATGGGATCACCATCATATATGCGGTTCATTGTTGACTGAAATGTTATGCATTATGTGTGTGTGACAGAGCTTCAAGCTGTCGTCCTGGGTAAAGTGCCATGCCATCACAGCTCACAGCAACCTCCAACTCCTGGGCTTAAGCGATTCTCCTGCCTCTGCTTTCCAAGTAGCTGGGACTACAGGTGCCCGCCACAACGCCCGGCTGTTTTTTGGTTGCAGCCATCATTGTTGTTTGGCAGTGCCTGGGCTGGATTCGAACCCACCAGCTCAGGTGTATGTACCTGGTGCCTTAGCCACTTGAGCCATAAGTACTGAGCCTAGTTAAATGTTTTAAGTTAAATATTACAAGTCAAGAAAAAAAGGTAATAGGTTAATACTTTTTTCAAAAGGAGTGAAAAGCTTATACCTACATATTGATCAGTCTGAGTAATAACTAGCATTATAATTTCTGTTTTTAATCTTTAACTTCTGCAAATATGTAAAAAGTAATCTTTGCATATTCAACTATAACCAGGCTGTGTGCAGTGGCTCACGCCTGTAATCCTAGCAAACTGGGAGGCGGAGGCAGGTGGATTGCCTGAGCTCAGGAGTTCCAGACCACCCTGAGCAAAGGAAACCCCATCTCTACTAGAAAAACTAGTGCAGTGTTGTTGTAGATGCCTGTAGTCCCTGCTGCTCAGGAGGCTGAGGCAAGAGGATGAGTGGAGCCCAAGAGTTTGAGGTTGTTGTGAGCTGAGACACATATCCAGGCCACAGAGTGAGACTCAAAAAAAATTAAAAATAGGGTGGCACCTGTGACTCAGTGCGTAGGGTGCTGCCCCCATGTACCAAGGATGGAGGGTTCAAACCCAGTCCCAGACAAACTGCAACAAAAAAATAGCCAGGAGTTGTGGTGGGTGCCTGTAGTCCCAGCTACTAGCGAGGCTGAGGCAAGAGAATCACCTAAGCCCAGGAGTTGAAGGTTGCTGTGAGCTGTGTGACGCCACAGCACTTTACTGAGGCCGATAAAGTGAGACTCTGTCTCTACAAAATAACAATAATAATAATAATTGGGCAGCACCTGTGGCTCAAAGGAGTAGGGCACTGGCCCCGTATGCCAGAGGTGGTGGGTTCAAACCCGGCCCTGGTCAAAAACTGCAAAAAAAAAAAAAAAAAAAAAAAAAAATCATCATCATAAAGGCTTGGCACCTGTGGCTGAAGTGGCTAATGAACCAGCCACATACACCTGAGCTGGTGAGTTTGCATCCGGCCTGGGCCTGCCAAACAATAATGATGGCTGCAACCAAAAAATAGCCGGGCATTGTGGTGGGCGCCTGTGGTCCCAGCTACTTGGGAGGCTGAGGCAGGAGACTCACTTGAGCCCAGGAGTTGGAGGTTGCTGTGAGCTGTGATGCCATGGCACTCTACCCAGGGGGAGAGCTTGAGCCTCTGTCTCAAAAAAAAAAAAAAAAAAAAAATTTACCTGCAGAAAATGGAGAAACTAAAACTGAGGAGAGTCCCTCACTGATGAAGCAAGAGACAAAGAAGCCAAGGCTGATTACCACGTCTTATCAGTGGTCCCTGTCTCCCTTCTTGTATAATCCAAAAGAATATTTTTATTAACTACTTTGTAAATGCTAGTTTTTTATTAGCTTTAGAAATATTTCTAAGAAGGAGGGAATCCCACTTCATTCATTTTTTAAGAGTAAATGCTTTTTTTTTTAAGAGGTGAAGTCATTTGCTGGTTGTTTATTTTTTGGTACAACCAGAAAATAGTGTGGGATGTTGAATTATGGGAAGCTCTGACTGTCTTGGGTGTCAGCTTAACCATAGGTGGGAGGTTAGTTTATATATCCTATAATACAAAGCATACTAAAGGGCAATATGGAGTCCCAGTCCTGCATTTAACGTCTTGAACATTTTTAATTACTTCTATTTCCATGTTGTTTTTTAGTAGAATTGTTTCCTAAAGAAAACCACTCATGGCTCTCATTGTCAGAATTGTGTTAACTCAGGCTGGACATGCTGGCTTGTGCCTGTAATCCTAGCACTCTGGGAGGCCAAGGCAGGTGGATTGCTTGAGGTCAGGTGTTCGATACCAACCTGAGCAAGAGTGAGACCCAGTCTCTACTAAAAATAGAAAAATTAGCCAGTGTCATGGCTGGCAACTGTAGTTCCAGCAACTCAGGAAGCTGAGATGTGAAGATCTCTTGAGCCAAAGAGTATGAAGTTACTGTGAACTATGATGATGCCATGGCACTCTACCCAAGACAACAGAGTCAGACTCTGTCTCAAAAGAAAAAAAAAAAAAGAATTGTGTAACTCTGTACTATCTTTGGTTGTGGTAGTCAGTCCCGTTTTCCTAATAACTTTGTTCATGTGCTGTGAAAGACTGAATATTTGAGTATGTAGGATCTATGGTAATAAATTGTGAATTGGTGGGACTTATGTAACACTCTATCAATATTTAAAGATACCTTTAAAGTACTTGGCTCAGTGCCTATAGCTTAACCGGCTAAGGCGCCAGCCACCTACACCTAAGGTGGTGGGTTCGAATCCCCAGCCCGGACCCGCCAAAACAACAATGACGGCTGCAACCAAAAAAAAATAGCCGGGTGTTGTGGTGGGCGCCTGTGGTCCCAGCTACTTGGGAGGCGGAGGCAGGAGACTCGCTTGAGCCCAGGAGTTGGAGGTTGCTGTGAGCTGTAATGCCACGGCACTCTGCCCAGGGGGACAGCTTGAGGCTCTGTCTCAAATAAATAAATAAATAAATAAAGTACTTGATATCCTCTTAAGGAAAATTTTAAGCTGGAAATTTGGTCTCCAAATTTTAAGCTGGAAAGTCACTGGAAAAAAAAATTGTTTTTTCTTTAAATTAAGACAGAGTCTCACTTTGTCACCCTCTGTGGAGAGCTGTGGGCTCATAGCTCAGAGCAACCTCAAATTCCTGGGCTCAAGCGATTCTCTTGCCTCAACCTCCCTAGTAGCTGGACCTACAGGCACCCGCCGCAACACCCAGATATACTGGAAAAATTTTTTAGAAAAGAATTACAATAAATGGCTTTTTAGATTTTTCGTATGTATGTTAAAAAGTGTGTACAAATTGAAATATCTGTACTGATCCTCAACCACCAATAAAATCTCAATGACAAAAGAAAAAAAGGCTTACTGGAACATGGTGATAATAAAGCAACTGATTTTTAGTCCATTTCATTTTTTAAAAATTTTCTACAGACAATGTACCCCCTTACTGCCACGAACCCAAGGAGCTGGACTTCTTCCACCCCCATTGTGTGCATGTCACTGCAATGAATTGAAATTTTAAAAAATGGGCTGGACAAAACACATCTCTGACTTTTGGTCTAGGGTTTATATTTGAAACTTAAAATCTCTCTTCCCACATCAATAGCCTCCCCTGTGGTTAGGCTGTCCCCAGCCAGAGCAGGCAGCCCTCTTCTTGAGGTGAACAAGTGCAAAACCAAGGTTTAGTTTCCCACGGTGGTCCTGAGGCAGAGATTTATTTAATGCAATTAAATATTGAAGAGTTAGCGTTCATAGGGACAATTTGGATAGAGTGGGTCAGAGGTGGCTTTCTCCTGTCCCCCAAACTATAATACTAATAAATCATAACAATAACAAGGACCATCTAAAGGCCCAGTGTGGTGGCTCACAACTGTAATCCTAGCACTTTGGGAGGCCAAGGTAGGTGGATCACCTGAGCTCACAAGTCCAAGACCAGCCTGAGCTAGAGCAAGACCCCCATCTCTAAAAATAGTGGGTGTTGTGGCGGGCATCTTTAGTCCCAGCTACTCGGGAAGCTGAGGCAAGAGAATAACTTGAGCCCCAAAGAGTTAGAGGTTACTGTGAGCTATGATGTCAGGGCACTCTGCCAGGCGCAACAAAGTGAGACTCTATCTCTAAAACAAAACAAAACAGGCTCGGCGCCTATAGCTCAACCGGCTAAGGCGCCAGCCACGTACACCTAAGGTGGCGGGTTCGAATCCCCAGCCCGGACCCGCCAAACAACAATGATGGCTGCAACAAAAAAATAGCCAGGCGTTGTGGTGGGCGCCTGTGGTCCCAGCTACTTGGGAGGTGGAGGCAGGAGACTCGCTTGAGCCCAGGAGTTGGAGGTTGCTGTGAGCTGTAATGCCACGGCACTCTACCCAGGGGGATAGCTTGAGGCTCTGTCTAAAAACACAAAACAAAACAAAACAAAACAGGAACCCTCTAAACACCTCCTCTCAGATCAGCCTTCAGACATGGTGAGGTTGCAGGTACCCAGAGGCTCCATTTTAAAACATGCTCTTTGGCCAGGCTCAGTGGCTCACACCAGTAATCCTTACACTTTGGGAGGCTGAGGTGGGTGGACTGCTTGAGCTCAGGTGTTCACAACCACCATGAACAAGAGTAAGACCCTGTCTCTACTAAATAGAAAGACTAGCTGAATGTTGTGGCTGGCACCTGTAGTCCCAGCTACTTGGGAGGCTGAGGCAAGGGGATCATTTGAGCCCAACATTTTGAGGTTGGTGTGAGCTATGACGCCATAGCACTCTACCAAGGGTGACGGAGTGAGACTCTGTGTCACAAAATTAAAATAAATAAATAAATAAATAAAACATGTTCTTTGGGCTTGGCGCCTGTAGCTCAGCAGCTAGGGCACCAGCCACATACACGGCAGAGATGGTGGGTTCGAATCCAGCCCAGGCCTGCCAAACAACAATGGCAACTACAACTAAAAATAGCTGGGTGTTATGGTGGGCACCTGCAGTCCCAGCTACTTGGGAGGCTGAGGCAAGAGAATCACTTAAGCCCAAGAGTTTGGGGTTGCTGGGAGCTGTGACGCCATGGCACTCTACCAAAGGTGACAAAGTGAAACTTTTGTCTCAAAAAACAAAACAAAACAAAACATGCTATTTGAGGAATACATTCTCCCCCATAGGACTCAGAGTTGGGGAGGAAGGTGGGCATCTTGGGGTGGTATAGGTGCTCCTGTCCTAGTTGGTCCTGCCTCATGCCGCCTCTGCCCTTAGAATCTTCAGGGGCTTACCCACATGTGGCATAGTGCACTCAGGCCTGTTTCTCTTCTTGAGGGGGGGCACAAGACCACGGGGCCCAGGGGAGCTCAGGAGCTGCAGGAGCGGCACAGGTGCAGGGACAGGGCGGGGTCTTTGTTCTTTTGCTCATCCCTGCCCTCCCCCTTCCTCCCCGGAAACCAGTGACTTTGCCACCACTAGTATTGGGGATGCTGAGCTGTGGGGGCCAGGCCAAGGGCAGGGATGGAGTAAGGGGGGCTGTGGTAGCTGTCAGGCCATGAACGGGACCAACCTTTGGCTCTGGGCACTGTGCTCGTGGACTCAGCTCTCACATCAGCAGTCATGAGCAGAAGTGACAACTGCACGGATCTACTAGTGCCGGGTGAGCTGGGCGGGGCAGGGGTTCGCGGGGGAGGGGTCATGTGGCCCTACGTCCCACTTGTTGGGACCTGGAGGTTGGGCTGGGCAGCAATCACCCTATCCTCTCTTATCCACAGGTATTCCCCACATAACTCAGGCTTGGGGACTGTGGGCCCTCTTAGGGGTTGTGACACTGCTGCTTCTCATCTCATTGGCTGCACACTTGTCCCAGTGGACCAGAGGCTGGAGCAGGGGCCATCTGGGGCAGGGACGGTGAGTGAGGACATCAGGAGTGTGTTGATTCAGAGTTCCCTCAGAAGTTCCCACTCATCCCCCAAACTCTCTTGCAGCTCTGGAGGGTCTATGGAAGAGGTCCCCCTGTATGGGAACTTGTATTATCTGCAGACAGGTAGGAAGCCGGCAATGCAGGGGAGGATGGTGGTCACAGAGGCTGGGTCCTGGGTGGGTGGGACAAGGACATGCAAGAGGAGAAAGCAGCAGCTGACCAGATTCCTGCTCCTTGCCCAGGACGGCTAAATCAAGAACCAAGGCCAGATCAGCAGGCTCCAGGCCCTGGAGGCCCTGCCAGGGTGAGTAAGCTATGGCTAAAAAAAAGGGGAGGAAAAGAGGTTGGGGGCTTTTTTGAGGGTTCAGTGAATTTCTAATGTCTGTACGTCTCCAGGCTGCAGAGGAGGTGATGTGCTACACCAGCCTGCAGCTGCCGCCTCCTCTGGGACGGATCCCTACCCCTGGGACTCCCATCAAGTACTCTGAGGTGGTGTTGGACTCTGAGCCAAAGCCCCAGGTCTCAGGCCCGGAGCCCGAGCTCTATGCCTCGGTGTGTGCCCAGACCCGCAGGGCCCGGGCCTCCTTCCCCGACGAGGCCTACGCCAACAGCCAGCCTGCGGCCAGCTGAGATGGAGGGCCTGGACCAACAAGGCATGCACTGCCTGGCCTTCCGAGCAGCAGGGCATGATTGTTCCCCAACCAGCCACGAAAGACTGAACACCATGGCCTAGTCACAGGACATGATCTACCCTGAAAGTCCTATCTGAACTGCGAGGGAGACATTTCAGGAAAATCATTTCTTGAGGATGGAGGAGCAAAGGCTGGGGCCCCCTCCTCACTCCATTTTGCTATCTGTTTCTGTCAGCCCCCAAAGTCCCAGGTTCTCACTTCCCCCTCCTTCCGGAGTTTAACCGGATCCTTCCCCCACCCTCAGAGTCTACCCCTGATACCCTGTCTCCGCACAGGAAGTGGTCAGTGGGGGAGGGGTAAAAGCCTGAGAGGGTGTGGATGGGTATGTCCCTTGGAAGCCTGTGGGGGTGGGGGTTGGGAGTGGGGGTCCTATTACCCAGAGACCTGGGGACCCAAGTCTTTCTTCTGACCTAACAACCCTGACAGGTCTTCATCCTGCTGTTTATGTTGCATCCCCAAGTATTCAAATAAAACTTCTCAAAAAGTGTCCAGATTTTACCTAGAGGGCTGCAGAATGGCAACAGGCCCCTCAGGTGGGGGTGTAGGATTTTTGCTGTCTGCACAGAGCACTTCTGAGGGTGCCTAGCTGGGGACAAGGAGCCAGGAGGAGCTGCCGCACCAACATTGCAGAGGTGGGTGCCCGGGGAGGAGCCTGGAGCCCAGCTCCTTAGCTGCTCTTAAGGCTGCTAGAACATCCCCAGGATCTGCCCTCAGAGTCACCACATCCCCCTCTCCCCTCCCCCGGGGTCTGCAAGCTCACCAGTTCCTGACTACTCTCCCATGATCTCGATAACTATGCTACCACCTCCATACCCTGCCAGCCTAGCCCCTCCATGCCCCTTGTTCCCCAAGAGTCCCACCTATACCCGTTTTGGCATCAGTACTCCCATCTGCACTGTCAGCATATACACATACCTTTACAGGCCCTCTCATCACCCCTTCACCATGGCAAAACTCCACCCCATCTCCACTTCCCTCAGTTGTCATCTACAGTCCTGGGAACAGCTTTGCTTGTCTCCACTTCCATTTTAATCCCTATCCAATCAGCCTCGCCTGTCCATCCATCACTTGCTTAATTCTTAACCCCAACCTCCTACACCACCTAGCAGGCTGCTGTGGGCAGGCTGCACAGAGGGTAGAACTATGGGCTTGGGAACTAGACTGCCTGAGTTGAAATTCCACATCTGCTACATACCAGCTATGTGTTCTTAAGCTACTAGGCCTTGGTTTCTGAATTGTAAAATAGGGAGGATATTAATGGTGTCATTTCATTTTTTTATTATTAGTTTTTGAGACAAAGTCTCACTCTGTTGTCCCTGCTAGAGTGTCCTGGCTTCACCCTTAATCACAATAACCTCAAACTCCTGGGTTCAAGCGATCCTCCTGCCTCGCCTCCTGCTGCATGGCTGGGATTACAGGCATCTGCCACCACAACTGCCTGACTAATTTTTCTATTTTTTTTTTTGAAGAGAGAGCATCTCACTTTTGCTCAGGCTGGTCTTGAACTCCTGAGTGCAAGGGATCCTCCCACCTTGGCTTCCCAGAGTGCTAGGATTATAGAGGTGAGCCATCACAGCCAGCCAATGGTGTCTATTTAAAAAAAAAAAAAAAGCTGTTGTGAGGCTTAAATGAATTGCTATATGTAGAGCACTTGGAAGACAATGGGTACTCAATAATGCTAGGTATTACTAAAATGAGAAAACTATTACTAAAATCCTATCTATAGGAGCTCATACGTAAAGTGACTTGTGAGGATAGACACCGCATGTAATAGGAGTCTACTAGGAGAAGTGAAAGACAGAAATGTTCCAGGCAGAAGGAATGACAAAGCAAAGGAGCGGCTTCTTTAGATCGAGGCGACAGAAGGGCATTCAGCCTGGCTGAAGGGTTAGGTAGGCTAGGGTTAGGCAGAAATGGTAAGATGCTGCTTGCACCTGTAGCTCAGCGGCTAGGGTGCCAGCCGCATACACCAGAGCTAGCAGGTTCGAACCCAGCCTCAGGCCTGCCAAACAACAAGGACAACTACAACAAAGAAATAGCCAGGTGTTGTGGAGGGTGCCTGTAGTCCCAGCTACTTGGGAGGCTGAGGCAAGAGAATCGCTTGAGTCCAAGAGTTTGAGGTTGCTGTGAGCTGTGACGCCACAGCACTGTACCTAGGGTGACATAGTGAGACTCTGTCTCAAAAAAAAAAAAAAAAAAAAAGAGACGGCAAGATGAGACTGGGGTGGTGGACTAAATCTAGATCACTCTAGGCCTGTAAGCCACGGGAAGGAGTTTGGACTTTTTCCTGTAGGTGAGGTCACTGAAGGTTATTGAGCCAGAGATGAACATACTCAGATAGGGGCTCTAGCGCTGCTGTCTGCTGCGCTGATCTGAAGGCCTGGAGACTGGAGTCAGGCAGTGCCTTTTAGGAGCTGTTGCAAAATCTAAAGGAGAGAAAATGATAATGGCAATGAAGATGGAGAGGAGGAAATGGATTAAAAAGAGGTTTAGGGGCAGCGCCTGTGGCTCAAAAGGGTAGGGCGCTGACCCCATATGCCAGAGGTGGCGGGTTCAAACCCAGCCCTGGCCAAAAACTGAAAAAAAAAAAAAAAAAGATGTTTAGAAAGTTAAAGAAAAAGGCCTCATCTATCACACCTTCCATCTTTCTGGTTAAAGCCTGAAATACCCCTCACCCCACCTGGCAATCTCTCTCTCTCCTCAGTCCTTGCGCTCCATTGGAGCCCCCACCCCGATCCCTCTTTCCCTGTAGCTATCAGTGATCCATCCCTCCCTCTGGAGAAAGCAAATTTCATCGAGGTCTAGGTCTTGTCTCCCTAGGGCCTCTGTAGAGGCAGGTCCGGTCTGACAAACTTTTTGAGGTTTGAGGGGCAGAAGAAAGGGGAAGCTGAGGCTTTCACTTCCAAGTTTCTCTCCTTCCCTCCTGGAGCACCAAAGAAAATCATATACGAGGGAACCATACATCTCACTGTGACCAGGTGGGGTCAATGAGGTGACCCGACACCCCAGAAAACACAGGCCCTGGTAGCCTTGGACTTCTGAAAACCCCAGCCCAGGAGACGCTCAGGTCGCGGTTAAGGGAACACAGCTGGGGCTGCGTGGGAGGGAGGGTGGCTCTGCGGGCGGACACCGGATGCTGAGAACTTAGCGCGATGTGGGGCTCTGAGTGATGCTATGCTTCTGAAGATGACTCCGCGTGTCCGCGCCAGGAGGACGTGACAGGTCTACTCTGCAAGAGGCGGGGGTTGGGACTCTACCAACCCTTTGGTACTAGCCGGGAATCAGGGTCAAGGGCTCAAACGCTCCCAACCCAAGCGCCCCAATCCATTCTCCCCGTCAGCAGCTACCCGAGGCACTCGCTGCCTGGGTCCGCTCAGGACTGAACCCCTACCGCCCCCGCCCGACGAGACGCAGAATCACAGTTGCCTTTGCGCGTGCGTAATGCTGCTGGCCCGCGGCATCCGGGAGTTGTAGCCGCCCCAGAGAGCAGGACCTGCGGCCCCCCAAATTCTCAGAGTGTAGCTGACTCTCTCCGTCTGGACTTCGGTGACACGACTGCACCCAGACGGTCACTTGCAAATTGAGCTTCTGTAAGACGATTTTTTTTTTTGGAGACAGAGCCTCAAGCTGTCCCCCCTGGGTAGAGTGCCATGGCATCACAGCTCACAGCAATCTCCAACTCCTGGGCTCAAGCGAGTCTCCTGCCTCAGCCTCCCAAGTAGCTGGGACCACAGGCACCCACCACAATGCCTGGCTATTTTTTTGGTTGCAGCCATCATTGTTGTTTGGCGGGCCGGGCTGGATTCTAACCTGCCACCTTAGGGCCACCTTAGGTGTATGTGGCTAGCGCCTTAGCCACTTGAGCCACAGGCACTGAGCCAACGATTTTGTTTTTAATGTATGACTGTAGCAAGATATGATTTGAACTTTGTTTTCCTTCCAGTCCCCAAAGCCCCGATGCGCTGCCTTATCTTTCTACAACACACGGTTCAGTTTTTTCTTACCTTCTCACCTTGTCTCCTTCACAGATATGCGTGCTGGGCTCAGGCCCTCAACACTGGACACTAGGACTGTGGCAGCTTTCTGATTGATCCCTGAATCTAGGAACTTAAGTTGCGGCAGCCAGATCTTCCTGAAACACTTCCGAGGGTACCCTTGCTACACTTCTCTACTGGTTAATTTATCCTACCAAATACCTGGTATTTCTTTCTCCTTCCAGAACTCCAGGTGCTTTTTCATAGTGGACTCTTTTGCCTCACCAGTGTACGATTCCAGCCAGCTCCCTGTCCTAAGTAAATTCCTAGGGTCGGACGCTTAAAGGGAGCCATCCTTTGGGGCCCCAGCTTTTTCTCTCTTCCTGAGATCCCAGCTAGGCCCATGGGGATAAACTTAAGACCTGACTTAGGGACAAAGGTTCGATGATAGGATTTTCTTAAAGAACTACTTTTAGGTTGCCGGAGTCTCAGGAGACAGCCCCCTCCATCTTTGGCTTTGTTTTGCAGTCTGACAAAGATGGGTTTAAACTTTTTTTTTTTTTTTTTTTGAGACAGAGCTTCAAGCTATTCCCCCTGGGTAGAGTGCCATGGCATCACAGCTCACAGCAACCTCCAACTCCTGGGCTCAAGCGTCTCCTGCCTCAGCCTCCCAAGTAGCTGGGACCACAGGCGGCCCACCACAACGCCTGGCTATTTTGCAGGCGTCATTGTTGTTCTGGCGGGCCGGGCTGGCTTGGAACCCACCACCTTAGGTGTATGTGGCTAGCGCCTTAGCCACTTGAGCCACAGGCGCCAGCCAGATGGGTTTAAACTTTGCAGCTGGTTTTGGCCACAGGAGGCAAACGACTGGGACATGGAAAGACACTATGTTTTTTTAAAAGTTAATTTTTAAAAAATTTTTTAATTATTATGAGTACATAATAGTTGTATATCTTTAAAGGGTGCCTGCAATGTTTTGATGCTGACATATAATGTGAGTTAATCAAATTAGGGTAATTGGAGTATCCATCACATCAGGTATTTTACCTTTCTTTGTGTTAGGAAGATTCCAACATCGCTCTTTTAGTTATTTTAAAGCATACCCCTTACTTACTGTTGATTATATCACTTTGTTGTGCTAACAAATATTGTTCATTCTACCTAATGATCTGCCTATAATTTGCACCCATTAACCATCCCCACTTTATCCCTTCATTCCCACTACCCTTCACAGCCCCTTCTCTCTATCTCCATGAGATTGTTTTTAATGTTTAGCTCCCACATATGAGGGAGAAGGTGTGAATTTGTATTTCTGTGCTTGGCTTATTTCACATAACATAAT